ATCACAAGCAGAATACAAAATAGACAAACATACAGTGACGTGCATCTAAGAATTTAGCTATGTACATATACATATACAGACCCAATTCTTAAAATAAGGCGTAACAAAATAATAAGAGGTAAAAGGATTATATACACTTTAACCTTAGACAGACAATCCGGGTGCAAAACCCAAAAGCTTAGTAAAACTCCATAAAATGGGCTGCCTTCACTTAAGTGCCTGGACACTCTGGGGTTGACAAAAAAAGGAACGAATGCCACGGGTTAAGACTGACCTTCAGGTGGAGTGCCTACAGAAACAAACGTAACATAAAGTAAGCCAAGCTCAGTGAACAGTAGCATGTAAACAATTTAACAATTGACTTGAATTACAATGCATATATATATATATATATATAACTGCAGAGAACATATAGTTAACTTTATCTTATAATTATTTTCATCATGGCCTTAGGCCTAACTTTAAACAGAATGGCTTCAAGTCCTTGATTAGAGGGGCGTTGAGCCCTTCAACAAAGCGACATTAAGCCCTTAACCAGAATGGCATAAAGCCCTTAAAAAGAGTGGCATAAAGCCCTTTTCATGTATGTATGGACTCAAGAGGTGGCTCGCATTGATTCTAGAGGTGGCTCACACTGTAGCACTTAGTTTCGTACAGCACTTTGTTCCATATCAGAAATCATTAGGTCTTTAAGACCAATCAATCCATACCATAGACCACGGTATTATCACCCCCGGGCAAGGGCCATAGACCACGGTATTATTAGCCCCGGGCAAGGGCCACAGACCACGGTATTATTACCCCCGGGCAAGGACCACACACCACGGTATTATTACCCCCGGGCAAGGGCCACAAACCACGGTATTATTACCCCCGGGCAAGGGCCACATGCTAAGGACGCTATGAATACTTTTACATATATGGACAATCATTCATTGATTGAAAACATAGCATATCAGAAAATAGAGCATTTCTTGTCATACCATGTTAGTATCGTACACTTAACAAAGACAGAATAATTCACCTTCTAACGTGGGCCACATAATGATGCATTTATGTCATAGATTCTGAACAACCTCAGGTCCATATGTAACATAACAAAATAACTTCAAATTCATAAGGATACACCTAGCTTTTCCAATTATCCTGACTCTTCGGAGGTGTCTGCACTTGATAACTCAGAACTGAATGGCCCATGGACTATTAATAGCAACTCAGTATGCTCTCATATTCACACAGAAACTGTTATTCAAGAATGAACGTAATTTCTCTTTATTCATTAAGAAGTGATGTAGCTCACTTATGGAGAATAGAATGTTGATATTAACTATTAATCAGAAGCATACAGAAGTATACACAGTTGTTTAATCATTCATATACGTTAACATAGTTGACCTGCAATTAATAGAGTGCTAATGGTAACCATTACATCATTCACATGAGCTAACATAGTTAATTTAAGTTTAACAGTACGTTGCTGATAATTATTAGCGGAAGGTAAGCACATCTTACAGATTGAACGATTCCAAAGATATGTAGATTCTGTAGCTCCATAATGCTCAATAAGGCTCTTAGATTATCCAATCGACATAATGTTAACATAATTTCTTGCAAAGAACGGGATGTTAACAACGAAAATTATTAACGATAAGTAAATGTGCGACCACAGTACTACTACTCACAGTGCTATAGTGGAGTGCTTGATCCTCCCGAATTATGACCTACACATGTGCATAACTTATACATTAGTTCTTGTCCTTTCTTTCATTATTTCCTACATCATTTTACTTCGAACAAATTTACAGGTATCTTAGGGACATCAAACATAAATTTCAAAAATACTTTAACGATAAGTAAATGTGCGACCACAGTACTACTACTCACAGTGCTATAGTGGAGTGCTTGATCCTCCCGAATTATGACCTACACATGTGCATAACTTATACATTAGTTCTTGTCCTTTCTTTCATTATTTCCTACATCATTTTACTTCGAACGAATTTACAGGTATCTTAGGGACATCAAACATAAATTTCAAAAATACCAGAGGGTTAAGCATGCAAAACAGAGCAAACGAATTTTTGCAACAGGGGCCGCACGTGCGGCTGTCATCCCCACACGTGCGACAAGGCTTCCTGCACGTGCGGCCATCACTCCCGCACGTGCGGCGATCTACACAAATTGCAATTCGAAAATTCAGCAAAAATCCAATTTGTTGATGAGTCTTCTTAAGGCTCAAATAGGTCCTTTAATTGATGAAGTATGGTTCAAAATCATGTACATAGACATCATAACATATATCAATCTTAACATAACTTGAATCTTTGATCTTTAAAACTTATGAACATGACCCACAATACTTCTAATTTCTTACACATACACACAAACATAAGCAACCATATATCCACATAGATGGGTTCAAGTTTGATAATTGAAGAATTAAGATGAAATTCTCACTCAACACAACACCAAATCAATTCAACACAAAAGGTAACAATTCCATTAATCATTTAGCACAACAATATAGAGAAATTCCTTCTTTATTCAAAGAGAGAGGTCTTACCTTGAATTAAATTCGCCACAACCCTCCAAATTGTCCCAATTCCTTCCTTGAAAGACTTCTCCTTTTTCTTCTCCCAACTTCCCCTTTTCTAACCCTTACAAGAGATATTTGGTTTTGAGGCTCATAAGTCCCATGGCTAAGAAATACATATGTTTATATATATATAAATTAAATAAGACAAAACTTAATCAGTTTAATCATTCATAATTGAAATTTCACAAAAATACTTATCACAACTTAAAAATTATGCTAATCCTAAATGTAAAATCAATTCCAAATTATCAAGCCTCTAAGGCTCTCAATTTTTGATCTGAACTTCTCAATCGTAACAGATATGTTTTCTTATTAAACATATATGAATTTTATAATCGTAAGGTTCACTTACTTAAACTTAATACTACATGGAATTCCACAATAAGTATTTAAATGCACAGAATAAGGGACTAGCAATATACCAGGAACAGATACGAGGGTCGGGTTATTACACTACCAAAGAATATTACCTTGGTCGCCAACATCAGAAAATCAATGAATCAGACTAGGAATATCCAGCTCTCTATCGTGGACCAAGGATAGAGACTCGTGAATTGTGAGCTAACACATCCGTCCCAAAGCTTGGATGTGGCCGAAATGAGGCTGAGGTGTGATTTCCTCATTGTGCTGGGATTCTATAAGGGCCTGAAATTCTTCAATTGTCAGGCATATCTCTTGTTCCCCAAAGCTAACGACGTGTGGAATCAGGTTTCAGCATCTAGCCGTGGCATGAAGTAACGGAAAACAAAGTGAAGAATGGCTCAGCGAAAAAAGAGCATTTATGTCGAAACCTCGAAAATTCATCTTTTCCGAGCCATCTAAAGTTGCAATACAATCCGAGAGCCTTTCAGCGAAAAATGGCTCCATTTGTGAAGAATTCGCAGCTAAAATGAAGAAACTATGAAGTTCAACCTTTTGTAAAAGATAAGGCAGTGAGTGGAAGCTAGGTGCCAACAATCTGGAGGTTCTTCACTTTGGTGGCCGACAGGCCACTGCTGATGGCCGGCAGGGCACATTAGTGGCCGATAGCCTTTTTCCTTTGACCAGCACCCTTCCTCTCAGATATGTCGTCCATCCTTGTGCTAAAACATTGTTGGAAGCATGTGTTTTTTTTTTTTTTTTTGCTCTTTGTGTGTTTTAAGGTCTTTTTTTAAGTCCTTTTGATTTTATCAAGCTTGTTGAGTTGTATTTGAGTTGTTTTGTTTATCGAGTTGTTGTGTTGCTTATTGAGTTGTATATTGCATTTTGTATTTTGGTTGTTAGTTGGTTCGTTACCCAATTAAGCGTTTTGTTTTAATCAAACACTCTTGGCCATTTCAATTCCCTGTCCATTTCATGCATGTATGGTGCTCATGATGCAAAAAAATGACAACACATTTTTTCATAAAACTGTCGATTTTATTTCGATCATGGCTTTTTACAAAAGTGGAGTACAAGTTTTAAACCAAAACAGAACTTCCTAAAGCTATATATGTGCTAATGCTATAAAACAAAAGAAACTGAGCAAAAATACAAAAATCAGCGCTGGTCGCCTCAGGCTGGAGAAGCCCTCTTCGTCCTCTTCCTCTGAGGAGAGGACTCAGGGGCACTATCTCCGCCAGCGCCACTGTCTCCGTCAGCGCCACTGTCTGAATTTGTCCCAGAATCTGAGCCAGAATCATCGTCGCTCTCTGCTCTAGAGCCTGACTCAGCATCACCTCCATTCTAAGATCTCGAGTCACCATCATCTCCACCCTCGGAGGACTCAGACTGTGGAATCACTGCCTCCATGGAGTCACTGGTCTCAGCATCATCGTCACTCAACACTGGCTCTAAAGGGCTCCTCTGATTCCTAGACGCTTCTGAGCAAGATGTCAAGTGCGGCAACCGCGTCCAGAGTGGACACGATATTCATATCGCTAGGTTGTAAAAGTTTAAAGAAAGCAGTGTGATCAGCATCGACTTTCAGCAATCTGGTAGAGAGGAGCCCTTAGTTACGCACTAGTGTCAGCATCCAATCAAGAGGTGGTGAAGAACTGTTGTTGCTGAATGTGGCAGCAAGAAGGTCAGAGATACTGGTGAATCTAATTGATTCGCAAATCATTTGAATCACGATGATCAGTGACGTCGCGCGATTTGCAGAGGAGATCGTGGAGGTAGCCAGACCATTTACGACATTAGCGAGTGCGATCCGGCTAAGGGCTATGTTGTTCATACCTTTCTCGGAAGCACGTTCCAGGACATTGTAGTTGCCATCGTAACCCAAGAACGTGGATCCAGGAATTAGATGTTGAGAAGTAAGAGAAGTATGCCCAAACTCCAACCACTCAGAATTCTCCATTTGGTAGATGTCCAAGTAAAGGTTGTCTCGTCGAATCCTCAGTTTAATCCAATGATTGTTGGTTCGCAGTATGATGTCGAACCATCAAGTGGATGGATCCTGCTGAGTGGGAAGTACAGGAATATTGTGTGAAAATGTCTCTCCCAATTCAACACGCAAGTCCTTAATGAAGTCCCTGTAAGCTCCATTACCTCTTTCAACATTGAACTCTTTTGTGAATTCTGTCATTAACTGAATTCAATCTTGCCATTGACAATAATAATCAATTAATAGAAAAACATAAAACACTTACAGTCAAAGAGACTTATACAAAAAATAAAATAACCATAGCCAAAAAAAAAAAAAAACTTAAAAGCATTGGACACAAAATAAAAAGTTACAACATTAAAGAAAAGTTCATATATAAACCATGAAACTAAAATCTCAAAAAAGAACACAACATTAAATAGAATATCCAAAAGTCAATATCAAGAAGTTCATACATAAACCATGGATGTTTTTTTTTTTTTTAATTAAAATTTATAAACTTGCATGTACTACTATTCAGGAATTACCAAAAAGAAAAATAGAATTTATACCCAAAAAAATATTTAATTGTAGGTTGAATTCAGTCTTGAAAACTCATCACCAAACAAATTTTCTAATTTCACATGTCACATCAAATTTTTAAAACTCAATTCAACACTCTATTCAAAAATCATAACTAAACAAATTTTCTATACTCAAATCATTTCTTACACACAATTATATGACATTTAATGTAATATTCATTTTTTTATTTTACACATGTGATTCATTGATTAGATAATTATATTTTTCTCTACCAGCAACATTAAAATGAGATGGAATTAAGTATAATGATTATTCCTTAAACTCCTATATAGAATGGTCATTCTTTTATAATGACAAATGATAATTTTATTTAGGGCTCGTTTGGAAACTTAGTTATTTTAGTTAATTTTTTTAACTATTTTAATATATTTATTAAAGTTATATAGAGGATGATAGTTGTTTTTTTTTTTTTAAATTGATTTGATGATTATGAGGGAAAAAAAAATTGAATGTGACATATTATTATTATTAACTATTTTAGCATCAAATCCACATCCTAAACTCTCCCTTACAATATATTTTCTATTATTTCATTTCAAACATTACTTAAAATCCTTTGTAATATAATAGTGCAATCAATTCATTATTACAACTCATAAGTGTTCACCTTTTGTTAAAACAATTTCATTTGAAAAATTCACCAATTTATTTTATTTAACTTGTGATTTATAAAATAATAAAAGAAATGTATTTTTACTTAACTTTTTTAGTTAAACTATGAAGGTTTCATTTTGAATTTGGAAGAACCGAAACTATAAACTTTAGGGGATCAGATGTCTTGGTTCTGGGATTCGAACTGTAGACTTGGATTCCAACTGCAGACTTGGAATTTTTGAAATTAAAAAATAAATGGGGGGGAGGTAACTGTTTTTAAGTTTTTTTTTAAAAAATATATAAATATAAAAATACTTCTCGGGTAAAGTAGGGTTGTTTTTAACTGTCTATCAAAACACATTACCTTCTACCATGCAGATGTGGAATGGTTTGAGAGACACAACCTCCACCGAATCTTTCAGTCTTGGACTTCGTACCTATCAGATTATATGAAGAAGAAGTTAGTCATTTTTCGTTATTCTATAATGCGTCAATGTTGGTTCACATTCACATCTGAAGTGTTTTAGTGTAAATTTGACTTATTCACATTTACATTCATTGTTTTTCGCCGTTTTAAATACTTTACTCACATATATGGTAAAAAAAAGTGTTAAGAGTGCAAATTTAGTGGTGAATGCTATACACTAAAAAAATTATTACATTTTTTACATAATATTTACATATAATATAAGTCTTGTATCGTGTGGTTTCTACCCTCATCATATAAATATTGTATAAATTAGCATTGTTCCAGATTTGAGTCCATACCATAGATGTCCTTGTTGGCTGGGACAATGCTTTAAAAAAAAAAAATTGATATTAAAATTTTATTACAATATAAGCACATCCAAAAAAAATTATTAAATAAAAAAACAAATGTTTTTTGGGAAAAAAAAATAAAAATAACTGTTACAAAATTAAAAATTAATTACTATGTGATTCAATTGTTGGTTGCATTTGTTCTTTTAAATGTATATTTTTATTTTAAAAAATAAAAGTAAATAATGAGTTTGTCTAATGGATAGGCCGACCAACAAGTGAAGCCGAGTCCGAGCAAGGATCCTCTAGAGTGATTTTTTCCTAAAGTTTCCTAGAGTGCTACATTGTGTGGTTGAGATTTACTGGCAAGTCACATCAATTTTTCTGATGTGACTTGCCAGTAAATCTCAACCACACAATATAGTACTCTAGAAAATTTTAGAGAAATTTCACTCTAGAGGATCCTTGGTGGCCGAGTCCTATCTAAAAAATAAAAAATAAAAAAACAATTGAAGCCGAGTAGATCCAACTCAGCATTTTGAATTGATGAGTTGGTCTAAGATTGAGCTAGACAGAAGGCGTAGTGCCTAGATGGAATGAGGATAGATGAGACACAATTATATGACATTTAATGTAATATTCATTTTTTTATTTTACACATGTGATTCATTGATTAGATAATTATATTTTTATTTACCAACAACATTAAAATGAGATGGAATTAAGTATAATGATTATTCCTTAAACTCTTATATAGAATGGCCATTCTTTTATAATGACAAATGACAATTTTATTTAGGGCTCGTTTGGAAACTTAGTTATTTTAGTTAATTTTTTTAACTATTTTAATATATTTATTAAAGTTATATATAGGATGATAGTTATATATAGGATCATTATAGGGAAAATATATTTTTATCAAAATAACATGCCACTGAAAATATTATGCAACTACAAAGGCAAAAGTTATTAGCACTGGCCTCTACAAGTTGGGTGAGCTTTTGTTTTGAAGATGAGAGATAATTGTCAATTTTCTCTTGTGAATCCGGAATATAAGCCCCTTGGATGCTTCCAATAACATTATTAACCACTTTCTTCAATATTGTCTTGTGAGACTCTTTGCTGATTTGACCTTCCTTCCACTTTGGTTTCAGCATCTCCTTAACAAACCCCACGAGCGCAAATTTAAATACCCAGATGCCCTTTGAATCATTATTTTTCTTGACCTCATCAGCCCTACCATCTTTATTCATCTTCTCCAATGGTCCATTTCCCTGTGCTTTCTTGCTTTCCTCAGCTGTCATTTCATTGTTTCCTTCACCATCACAATTAGCGACTGGATTTAGCTGATCCAATTGGTGACACTCTCGATCTAATTCAACCTCCGATTTACCAACCTTATATTGATCACCACCACTTGGTCCGCCAGTAAGAGAACTGAATAAGTCTCTTGAAGGTACTTCTTGTTTCTCACCCACAATTCCTTCAACAGGATTTGGTAACAATCCTGCGAGTGGATTATCAGTATGATTTTTAATCAACACAATGTTATCACTAAGAGGATTATACTGTGTCTCAGATCTAATGACTAGATTTGGATTGCTGGATGCTGCAGCAATCGGACGAACAGGTCCTGCAGAATTGGAAAGGGATGAAGACACAAATCCAATTAATTTTGTGGGATTGGGAACTACACCTAGATGAGAACATTGCTTCATGTCTCCATATAACTGAGACAAAGCTAAAAAATTAATAAATTGTGAAGGCTGCTGCCTGTTTACTATGTTTTGTGCTGGAGGGATTTCAGAACTAAGTTCAGGTCGGTTTCCCTCTCCAGCATTAGGTTTGCTAAGTGATTTGTCCTCCTGGAACAGTGGTTGAGTTTGCACATTGGTAATACTTTCTCCTCTTGGAGCATGCAGAGAGAAAGTCTGTTGAATCTGTCCAACTGCACTAAACCATGAGAGAGGGTCAATAACTGCACTAGAACTACGGTCATTCTGATCCACACTTTGTCCTGGCAGAACATCTGCAGAAAATTTTTGATCAATGCTTGACATGGCACAATCACTAGTTTCTTTTCTAAGCTCAAGAGAAAACGCATAACCAGCATCCTCCTCCCTTGAACTGGGCTTTGAATAGAAACAAACATTTTCAGATATCAGCGGTAGCATAGCTGCAGGATCTTGATGCTTCTGACCTAACATCTCCCCGGTCATAACCTGTTCATATGAGCGTGAAGATCTTTCCTTAAGAGATAGACAATGTGAGGTCTGACTAATGTGACAACTCTCTTCTTTAACAACATGGCCAGAAGATTGCCCATAATTCCATGAGAAAGAAACCTCCATATCACTATACCAATTTTCAGCACCATTTGATTCAAAGCCACTTGTTCCAGCAGTAGCAGTTTCTGCCTTTGGCTGGAGATACCTCCTATCATTGCCATCTACTGCTTCACCATTGTTTATTGGGTGACCATATGATCTGTTCTCAATGTTAAAACTACGTACCCATCTATCATCCCTAGAATATGCAGGAAATCCTTGTTCATGAGCACCAACATTTCCATTTCCATCCTCATTCCACTCGAGCAACTTTGCATTATCCGGCACAGTCGTGTCGCTCCACCTTAGATGTTCTTCTGGTTGTTCCACTGTATCTAAATTCTTGCTCCTCTTCCTCCAATCATCCCTTGACCTGTCATAGGGATTGACAGTCTGGCCATGATGAGAAAATCTGCAAAACGTCCCTTTATGGCAATTTCCTGCAGTAAAAAATTTGCAAGGGATATCACTACTCCTATGGGGTTCATGCTCCCTACCATGCCCACTCCTGTCATTTTCCTTTCCTCTAAACACTTCCTTCAGAGACCCTGTATTAGAAGCAACACTGTTATGCGCATATTTAGAATATGCCCCCGTACGACATCTACCCTTGATAAAATCACTACAAAGATTATTAGATCTTCTCACACTCTGTAAGTACTCCCGGCCATCATTAGAAGTGGAATATTTAGAAACTCCACTCCTCCAGTGGCTACTTTCCTAGCACTTTGCTAGACCACCTTCAGGACATCTATCTTCATGATCTCCGTGATCCTGGTGAAGATACGGACAACGATCACCTCTCCTGCATCTACCAGCAACAAAATCTCTACAAGTCCGGGCTGCAGTACTTCCATCCAATCCTAATTCTCTCTTAAAACCATGTGGAGGACTCCTGCTCCGGCTCCTGCAAATTATAACCAGAAACCACTCTTCAATCATCAGAAGACAAAAGAGATGGAATTTTGCTGCCAAGGTAATACAGAATTTGCAAACTACTCATGAATAAGTTGGGAAAATCAAGGATAAATTTCACCTGGGAAGCAGTATACATCAGTGTCAGGAGAAGAAAAAAGGAAACATTATCATTCTAATTAATTCCGACATGAGGAACATTAGTTAATATCCCAATGGATTATGTCTTATTAGATAAAGCTACTCTATTTGATTTATTAGCAAATAGTTCTTCAGTTCAGACTTACAGTACCATAAAGATCAATCGCATGAGCCACATAAACAAGTCAAGCATAAGTGAGGTCATCACCATAGCTTGAAGAGTTATACAGCATGGGTATGGGAAGTAGTAGTGAATCGTACCTGTCTGATCTGCCCCGACCATTTCTAGGGAAGTGACTGTATTTTTGTTGCCTCCAGTGATCAAGACCAGGAGACATTTTTGTCATGTAACATCCTTCTCCATACCACTCCAATATTTCATCTTCATTATTGCATTCAACACGGTACAATTCTGGATTGGTACTACCAGCAAGCTCTGGGCAATCCCTCCCAGATTGTGATTCTTTATTATGAACAGACTCCCCTACATTCTGAAGCCAAATACCATATTCTGTATCTCCTGGGAAAAGTCGAGGCTGATCCCACTTTGAAACACATGTTCTGCCACTCCTGCTCATCCTTCTTCCACACTGAGCAGCACGCCTTCCCCCAAGTCAAATGTAGTATAATCTGGAGAAAAAAAGGAAAAACTTAAAAAAAATATATGTATATATATAAAAAATAAAAAAAATTCTCATTCGAATTAGATCACTTTCTACCTTTCTACTCTCTTCTTTGTTTAAAATCTGCAGTTATGTCCAAATGTATCAAAAATATTTAGCAAAATTCACATCCATGATAATATTTGAATCTCCAAAGTCGAGATAAGGCCTACAACTGTTAGCAGGCAATTACGTTATTGCAAAACCCAAGGTAAAAGTTTGGGATGCCAAGTGTTAGAAGGCATGTCAGTCTATGCCCTTGGGGCAGCCACTTAACACAAATTATAAAATAGGTCCGGTTTGAGTATGGCATTCAGACTAAGGCCTCGTTTGGGAACAGGCTAATTTAGTAACTTTTTGGCTAATTGGCTAAAATAGCCTCTTGCCAAACGAGGCCTAAGTAGCCTAATTTGAATTGGTCAAAAAAACAACCAAAAGACAAAAAAATTGGAATAATCAGCCAAAGTAGGGTAATTTCTGGTTTTTGGAATTTGGCTTTCTAATTATTTTAAGAAATATTTTATTTTCTATAAGCAAAGTATTATTCACAAAATGCCAAAAGAGATTAATCTTTGTACATGAAGTACACATGATATAATAAAGCCTTAACCCAAAATAAAGTCCTCAATAAAATCCATACAAGTAAAAGACAATTCACAAAAGTTTTTCTAAACTAAAAATGAAAGCATTTAGTAAAGTTACTCTTAAGCATATGTACATTAATCTCCACTTGTTCAAAAGTGAGATGATTCCTCTCCCTCTACGTACACCACATCAAGCATAGAGAAGTCGCCATCTATACCTTCTTAAACCTCTTCTTTTCACATCCTCCTGACCAACTCTCATAAAAATGGAGCAAAGCTTATGGATTCACCTATTGTACACCAAAAATAGACAAGATCAAACTCCATAATTCATTCGCAACATCACAATCAACGACGAGATGGTTACTTGTCTCCCCTGCTCTCGACACAAACAACACCAATTTAGAAATTAATTAAACTAATGACAATTAGAGACTAACCTTGATTAATTAGAGCTAAACTCAATTAATTGAACTAATGAAGAAGATCAGGGAAGCTAGTAGGTGAAGCTAGGAGATGAAGCAAGAA